AGATTATAATACAGTAGCAATCAGTGTGAGATTATACTGTAACAGTCAGTATGAGATTATAATGCTGTAACAGTCAGTGTGAGATAATACTGTAACAGTCAGTGTGAGATTATACTGTAACAATCAGTATTAGATTATAATACTGTAACAATCAGTGTGAGATTATACTGTAACAGTCAGTGTGAGATAATACTGTAACAGTCAGTGTGAGATTATAGTGTAACAGTCTGTGTGATATAATACTGTTACAATCAGTGTAGCAGAGAGGTAGTATAATCCACAGTATCTCTGCTGGTAGACAGGAGCAGCATATAATAATCCAGGTAAAACAGGTACAGCATACAATAATCCCAGTAGCTTTATACAGATCCTTCCTTCCCAAGAACTAGATGACACATAGGCTGGGAGTCAACTGAGGTTTTATTCACAAGCTCCAGTATTTATGCGGTTCCCCATGCAAGGGGTTTCCTTGCTGACTTTACAGGGGTTGTACAGTAGGGGACTACAAGGGGAACTTAACAATCAGAACATTTCTCCCACCATGCACTGCTGTAAGAGAGGGATACTCCCACTAGAATATCCAGTTAAGTGGATTATCCCTCCGTACAGCAGAACTGGCTTTTTACATAAAAATCTATAACTCTAATATTATTTGTGCTATTGTACCGAATGACCATTCGGCAGATAGCTGCGGTCTGAGTTCATACTTTGTGAAAGTACCGCTCAGATCCCAGCACAATTAGCCGAACGCCGCACAAAATACACTTGAACACAAATTCTTCACAAAAGTCCCGAATACACATGCAGAGTTAAAATACCGAAAGACCGGTGCTCCCGAACGGCCTGGAAGTCCAGCGGTATTCGTGCCGTGGAATAGCTGATTTTAGTTCCAGGCACTCGACGACCAAACACCGCTGGGCTAACAAAGGATCCAAGATGGCCACCGCCGCGTGGTCGGTATCCTAACGGCGGCCACCCTGAACATTTATTAACTGTTGAAAGATACTTTGTTGCGGTCCATAATGGGAGCAACACGACCTCCTGTGTGTGGTCTCCCACTCAATAGTTTGTTTGTTTCACGAACAGTGTTGAAATTCACTGTTCGTGAAACTACTGTATGAATGCTGGTGGCTTTCGTGCCGCCAGCATACGAATGCTTTCGTTCACATAAAATACAGAATAGGGAACATGGACAGTTCAGGTAGTCTTAAAGCCACAATATCACATAAATGTAAATACAGTCTTAAGTGGCTAGGTTTGCCACAATCAGTGTGAGATAATACTGTAACAATCAGTGTGAGATAATAGTGTAACAATCTGTGTGAGATAATAGTGTAACAGTCTGTGTGATATAATACTGTTACAATCAGTGTGAGATTATACTGTAACAGTCAGTGTGAGATAATACTGTAACAGTCAGTGTGAGATTATAGTGTAACAGTCTGTGTGATATAATACTGTTACAATCAGTGTGAGATAAAAGTGTAACAGTCTGTGTGATATATATTACTGTTACAATCAGTGTGAGATAATAGTGTAACAATCAGTGTGAGATGATACTGTAACAGTCAGTGTGAGATTATAATACTGTAACAATCAGTGTGAGATTATAATGTAACAGTCAGTGTGATATAATACTGTTACAATCTGTGTGAGATTATAATGTAACAGTCAGTGTGAGATTATAATACTGTAACAGTTATTGTGATATAATACTGTAACAGTCAGTGTGAGATTATAATGTAACAGTCAGTGTGAGATTATAATACTGTAACAGTTATTGTGATATAATACTGTAACAGTCAGTGTGAGATTATAATGTAACAGTCAGTGTGAGATTATAATACTGTAACAGTTATTGTGATAGAATACTGTAACAGTCAGTGTGAGATTATAATGTAACAGTCAGTGTGATATAATACTGTTACAATCTGTGTGAGATTATACTGTAACAATCAATGAGCTGTATGTGTTTAGAGGGCCCCTCCTGTAGACTTGGCACCAGTTGACACAATGTGATATACCCATTATCAGATCTGCTTAGTGAATATCCCTGGTATCTCTGCTGCTTATAGAGGGGTGGCGTTAAGACGCTTTGCTTGGGTGAAAGAGTAGGCCTTTATTTAGTGATCACATTGTGAGGGAATGTTTGAAATGCTGTATGGAATTCGAGTATGTAAACAGCTCAGGGGGCTGTGTATCAAACCTGTTCCAACATCCCTTAGCCTCAAGGGCCACGGACAAAGGAGGAGTGGGGCGCATGTGGGTCTGGTCAGACTACCCCAGGCTGAAGAATGTGAGAGGACACTTTATGTACAATTATTTTGTTAAGGGGCACTAGATAGTTTCATAAACAAACAAAGAGAAAACAGATCATTTTACAACACATAACAGAAAGTTTATTTACCCAGGGACCCGCTTACCAGGAAAATGCAAACTGACCCCAAATCAGCCAAAATGGAGACTTTTTCAAATTTGGCCAGTTTATAATATATATAATGATACTGAGTATCTATACAATGATACTGAACACACGGCTTTGTATAATGATACTGAGTATCTATACGCTGATAATGAGCACGCCGCTCTGTATAATAATACTGAGTATCTATACGCTGATAATGAACACAGCGCTCTGTATAATGATACTGAGTATCTATACACTGATAATGAACACACCGCTCTGTATAATGATACTGAGTATCTATACACTGATAATGAACACACAGCTCTGTATAATGATACTGAGTATCTATACACTGATAATAAACACATCGCTCTGTATAATGATACTGAGTATCTATACACTGATAATGAACACGCCGCTCTGTATAATAATACTGAGTATCTATACACTGATAATGAACACACCGCTCTGTATAATGATACTGAGTATATATACACTGATAATGAACACACCGCTCTGTATAATGATACTGAGTATCTATACACTGATAATGAACACACCGCTCTGTATAATAATACTGAGTAGCTATACACTGATAATGAACACACCGCTCTGTATAATAATACTGAGTAGCTATACACTGATAATGAACACACCGCTCTGTATAATAATACTGAGTAGCTATACGCTGATAATGAACACACCGCTCTGTATAATGATACTGAGTATATATACACTGATAATGAACACAGCGCTTTGTATAATGATACTGAGTATCTATACGCTGATAATGAACACACCGCTCTGTATAATGATACTGAGTATCCTATCATGATAATATACACGCTCTGTATAATGATACTGGTATCTATACACTGATAATAAGACACACGGCTCGCAACTTATAATGATCTGAGTATATATACACTGATAATGAACACACCGCTCTGTATAATGATACTGAGTATCTATACACTGATAATGAACCTGCAGCTCTGTATAATGATACTGAGTATATATAGCGCTGATAATGAACTGGCGCTTTGTACATAAATTACTGAGTATCTACTCGCTGATAATGAGCACGCCAGCTCTGTATAATATTTCATGGAAGAGTATCTATCGCTGATAATGAACACAGCTCTGTATAATGATACTGAGTATCTATACACTGATAATGAACACACGCAGCTCTGTATAATGATACTGAGTATCTATACACTGATAATGAACACACCGCTCTGTATAATGATACTGAGTATCTATACGCTGATAATGAAACACACCGCTCTGTATATTGATACTGAGTATCTATACACTGATAATGAACACACGCTCTGTATAATAATACTGAGTATCTATACGCTGATAATGAACACACCGCTCTGTATAATGATACTGAGTATCTATACACTGATAATGAACACACCGCTCTGTAGAATGATACCGAGTATCTATACATTGATAATGAACACGCCGCTCTGTATAATAATTCTGAGTATCTATACACTGATAATGAACACGCAGCTCTGTATAATGATACTGAGTATCTATACACTGATAATGAACACACCGCTCTGTATAATGATACTGAGTATCTATACAGTGATAATGAACACACTGCTCTGTATAATAATACTGAATATCTATACACTGATAATGAACACACCGCTCTGTATAATAATACTGAATATCTATACACTGATAATGAACACAGCGCTCTGTATATATGTGATACTGAGTATATATACACTGATAATGAACCTGGCCGCTTTGTATAATGATACTGAGTATCTATCATTTGATAATGAACACACGCTCTGTATAGCTAGTACTTTAATTATCTACCGCTGATATTGTTACATCATATAATGTTTGGTATCTCACTGATAATGAACACACCGCTCTGTATAATGATACTGAGTATATATACACTGATAATGAACACACCGCTCTGTATAATGATACTGAGTATCTATACACTGATAATGAACACACCGCTCTGTATAATGATACTGAGTATATATACACTGATAATGAACACAGCGCTTTGTATAATGATACTGAGTATCTATACGCTGATTATGAACACACCGCTCTGTATAATGATACTGAGTATCTATACGCTGATAATGAACACACCGCTCTGTATAATGATACTGAGTATCTATACACTGATAATGAACACACCGCTCTGTATAATGATACTGAGTATCTATACACTGATAATGAACACACCGCTCTGTATAATAATACTGAGTATGTATACACTGATAATGAACACACCGCTCTGTATAATGATACTGAGTATCTATACACTGATAATGAACACACCGCTCTGTATAATGATACTGAGTATCTATACACTGATAATGAACACAGCGCTTTGTATACACTGATAATGAACACACCACCCTGTATAATGATACTGAGTATCTATACGCTGATAATGAACACAGCGCTCTGTATAATGATACTGAGTATCTATA